CAAGCAAAAACACAAAATTAAATTTTTATTAAACAGTGTCCTTTATTCTATATTATAGTGTGTTTATTTCCCTTCTGATGTTTTTTTTTAATCTACACATCATAAGAATGATAAGTTTTGGTTCCAATTTGCCCAGTAATTTCAGAGAACCAGACTTTTGCACAAGTTTACAGACGAAGATGGTGGATGGCAAGAGATGCCAACAAACTGGGTAAAAGTCGTCGTTTAAAGTCATTTGAAGTTATTTTGTGATTTTCTATTTAAAATAGTTTTCAAGTAAAATAAATAAAATTTGCTTAAAGCTGACATTTAATGTCTGTTCTGAAAATTTTAAGAGAGATCAACACCTACCGACCATAATATTCCGATAAAATAAGCCAAGAACTATCGTTTTAATTTCAGTCTTCCATTTTTACTTGTACCAGTCATAAATTTTATTAGATGACAACATAATATTGGGCTATGCATTATTACTGTTAAGTTTATTAACATCTGATTATGCAGTTTCAAAGGGAAACATTTTAGACGGACAATGTGCAAAATAATGACAATGACGAACGCCCAGTGTTTGTATAACCTCATAAAGCTGTTAAGAGCCAGGTGAGTTTAAAGGAAAGATCTTTGAATCGTGACCAGAAAAATTTTATCTTCAGGATTACAAAAATTGATGGTTGCTAGGCATTTCCCACGATATGAGAATGGCTACTAAAGACTATTGTGACGATATTGACCACTTACCCCCTTGTTGTAAACCTATATATATATGCTTGGGAAAAAGCCTTAGTACTTATTTCGAATGATTTAAAGTTTTATGAACACTAAATACACACAAAAAAATATCTATGATGTTTTAAGTCAGAACAGGAGACAACGTGGCTGATTTACTGAAATACACAAGAGTAAAATCACGTCAGTAACTTATTTCTAATTGAAAGAACGAATTTCATTTTAGTTTCAAAATTTCGGAATTTTGTCAAATAGGATCAAAATATTGAAGATTTCTAAGCATTTTCCAACTATATGAGGATAGCTACTTAAGTCTTTGGTAACGATATTGATCTCTCACCTTTCAATTAGGATCTATATAACAGTTCATATTGGTCTGAACCCAAATATGTATGGTTGCTAGGTACTTTTATATCAAGTAAGGGTCGTTGCTAAGAACTTTAACCTTGACCTCTTGCATTTTATCCTTGTATCCAAATAAAAGCAATATATAATCGTTCTGAACATTTTTTCTATTCAAGGTATGGGCATATTTGTAACCATTTCTGACAAAATCTAATAAAAAAAGACTCAAGGTCAAAGGTCAAGGTCATCAATAACCCTTTACCTTTAGATCAAAATTAAGGTCATTGAATGCGCAATATTTTTCAATTGATTATCATCCTTTATTTGTCATAGTTTATGAATTATTTTAATAACAAGGTCAAAAATATTTTTAAAAAATAACAAAAATTTCACTTTTTGGTTCCCTTAGCAACCACCATAGCAACCTGAATCCCAAACCTCTAGCCATAAATTATTACTAGGCAACAGTGTTAGTTTATATTGATAACTTCAATGTAAATGGCTCTGGATGCAAAAGTGTGTAATAAGTTCATGCAAAATGCTTATAATTTACCTTTTAATACAATCGTATTACAATTTTACTAAAAAAAAGATCAAAGCTGTTATCTTAGATTATGTTAGTCAAATGTTTAGTAATTTGGTCAAGTAAGTTTGCATGAGAGAGGAAGAGTATCAAATTTATACCCAGGCTTTCAACCCTTATTGCCGATTGTGACATTTTGTATGAGTGTGGATTCGTATGGTGGGAGATCCATGATACATAACAGGATACGCGTACTCTATCGACGAATCTAGTCTTGCTCTTTTTAAAGTAGTTTAATTGATTCATTCAGTTTTAGTTCTTACCTAGCGTGATTTGTTGGTTTTAGTAAATGAATTTATGAGTTTTGAACATTGGCGAACCACTTGCACTATTCTGTAATAATTTGTTAATAATGAACGATGACATCATAAACAAGCTATTATATAGTATTCTTACTTAATTAAGAAGAAAAGTGGAAATTGTATTATTTGATAAAATGGGCACCTAACCCAAAATGTCCTGGACATGTTCCCAATTTCCTATACAAAATTTCGAATCTTGAAAATTTAATGGCCTTAGGTTCAATTCATTTCAATGAAACTACCGAAATGAAAGTATTTTTAGAAGTATATAATTATACTCTTAGCTTGTGGTCAGCAAGGATTTGTATAGTAAGTTACTATACAAATCCTTGTGTTCAGTAACCAAAACGCATAGAAGTATATATACTCTGAGCTTGTGTTCAGTAATTAAACGCATATTTTTCTATGGTATCTTTTATCATTTTTTATTTGTACTTGTGATTTTATGTACTTTTAGTGATTTTCCTTCACCGATGTTTAATGTGTATTCATATATGTATCTTTTGTAAGTCCATTTATCTAGATTAATAGGGACAGGTTTGAAATAAACAAAAAAAAATGTTAGTTTATCCCCACCATATGTTAATGTAAAAGATCATTAAATGTGCCTGTTTCAAACAGTCTGTGACTTGCATTACTACGCCAAGCTACTGCTTGACTATCTACTATATAAATTTTGACCTTGATCTTCATCTTTGAAAATAAATAGGCTTCCACTTCGTGCTGTCACCAACCTCATACTAATAATTATTTAAAGAAGGTGTTAGGTATATATCAAAGAGAAAGTAACACGACGCCACAAATAACAAAAACATCTAGAAGTAAACATAGTCTACAAAGATAGACAGACGTCTATTCAATATATGCCAAGCAAAATCTATGAACAACTTTCCATTTCTATGTAGCAACATTCCAGCAGCGCCTGCATACGGAGTATATATCTCCCAGTTGATACGATATTCCAGGGCTTAAATTTCCTATCATGATATCCTTGATAGAGGGTTGCTGCTCACAAGGAAGCTTTTTAAACCAAGAGTTTAATAGGGACAGGTTTGAAATAAACAAAAAAAAATGTTAGTTTATCCCCACCATATGTTAATGTAAAAGATCATTAAATGTGCCTGTTTCAAACAGTCTGTGACTTGCATTACTACGCCAAGCTACTGCTTGACTATCTACTATATAAATTTTGACCTTGATCTTCATCTTTGAAAATAAATAGGCTTCCACTTCGTGCTGTCACCAACCTCATACTAATAATTATTTAAAGAAGGTGTTAGGTATATATCAAAGAGAAAGTAACACGACGCCACAAATAACAAAAACATCTAGAAGTAAACATAGTCTACAAAGATAGACAGACGTCTATTCAATATATGCCAAGCAAAATCTATGAACAACTTTCCATTTCTATGTAGCAACATTCCAGCAGCGCCTGCATACGGAGTATATATCTCCCAGTTGATACGATATTCCAGGGCTTAAATTTCCTATCATGATATCCTTGATAGAGGGTTGCTGCTCACAAGGAAGCTTTTTAAACCAAGAGTTCCAAGAGGTGAAGTTGAAATCACCCCTTCGTAAATTTTACGGACGCCACCACGAGTTGGTTGACCGTTATGGGATATCCGTTTGATGACAGATGACAACGGATATGTTCCAATTGTCGTAACTACAATCCCGTCCCCTTTTCCCCGATTGTGACCTACCGAATTGGACTTATTACCGGGTGTGTACTAACATGAGCAACACGACGGGTGTCACATGTGGAGCAGGATCTGCTTTCTCTTCTAGAGCACCTGAGATACCCACAGTGTTTAGTGGTGTTCGTGTTGCTCAGTCTTCGGTTTTCTATTTGTTTTGAGTACTGTTGTTTTTCTGTTTTGTCTTTTTCTTTTTTAGCCATGGCATTGTCAGTTTGTTTTCGACTTGTGAGTTCGAATGTCCCTTTGTTATCCTTCGCCTCTCTTTTAACAGAGAATGCCATATTTCTTCCAACCTCTTTCAATAACAAATATAAATCATAAAGATTTGACTAAAGACGACCAGGGACAAGGTTCATGACTAAGAACAATGGCTTTGATTATTGCGTCGAATTTTTTTTTCATAAACCGCATATATGTTCTCTGTCCGATCAGTTCTTGCTAATGTGTCCATTCGTTCAAACATCAAGATAATTTGAGAAGTCGTGAAATAAACGCCTTACAAAGCGTTCTTGGTTTCTTCACTGTTATACCCGAGATGTAAAAGCAATGTCATTTTCACGCACAGAGTGTTTGAAGGGTTTGTAGGACCACACTTAGACTTGCATCTGGTAAGAACCATGTTACACTCGAGCATGCTAAAGTGAATACAAAGACTTCTTACAAAAGCATAGACAATTTAAGATGTTCTATCTCGAGTTTCCAAAATTAATGTTTGTGCTGAGGGTGTGCAAAAAATTCCCTTAAATTCGTAATAATTTTCACTGAGTAATGGACTTTCAATGATCCTTGGAATTATGCAAGATTGTTTCTTATTACACTCTTAGTCACTAAAATAAATGGGGCTATAAAAACCTAGGTCTTTAGAATAATTCAATATTTCATCAACAGTGAAAAGTTACAGAAAATGAACATATCAATGACATTTCTTGTCAAGACAAAAGTACTGACTACTGGGCTGGTAATAGTTACCCTCGAGGACGGAACATAAACCAACAGGCACCTAGACAGACTTAATTAATTCTCAAGACGGTTGATGCATGCATAGTAAAAGACGTTTACACTGTCGACGAACCTGGAGTTCATGCGATTCCCTGTTTTTGTTTGTTACCATGATTTATCTCTTTCTGATCAATTTACGAGATTTGAAGATCGGTAAATCGGCAAACTAATGTCGCCTTAATTTAACAAGATCTTTAGTGCTAGCAGATCTTTTTGTTTATCGCCCAAACTACTATTTTGTGTAACTAAATCAATAACAACAAACGTTCACATCTATAAACATAGGGCGATATACCCCTCATATAGCCCGTTTACATAAATGTAGTGTATAGTAGCCGGTAAGAATTTTAACACAAATTTAATATCACTATACAAACAATTAAAACATGTAAACATAGCAAACCACATGTATCAACAATTACATGTCTTATATATCCACATGTATCAACAATTACATGTCTAAAATATCACATTTTACAGTCTTATCAATTTTATAAACAAAGCATTACATGAACCAAAAATAATTGTATCAATTATACATTTACTTATACTTTCAATATACTTGCCTTTACAACCGTTTTGAAATATTTAAATCATTGCTAATCAATGTTTCATATTTTTGACCTGAAAAAGTACTGATCGTTCGTACCAAAATTGTGATATTTAGTCGTTCATTTATTCTGTGATGTGTAACCGATTGTTGATGCTAGACAGAAGGGCTAAAACAAGAAATAAACGCATAACTGAGGACTAGTTTAGTGGTTTGCTCTTAAAATGAAAGTAAGGTGAGCCTAATAGTTTATGCTCTCGCGTTTTCATGGACGTGTTCAAGGTAAAAAAAAAATGTTATTTGTTGTAAACTCAATATTTTTTCAGAAAATATCGAAATATATCTAAAAACTTATATTTCTAAATACGTCAAAAGTGTAATCGATATTAAACTCCAATATAAATGCAAACATAGAAAACTTTTTCCACAATTCTTTTTTTGTCATTCTTACAAAGTTCCATAGCTACTATGTGTTCTACGTGACCATTTATTCTAAAGCCATAAAGAATGTATATGAAACAAGAGAAGTTATATGCCAATCTTCTATGTTCATAATAATGAAACATCGTCTTGTATTGTTTCTATATATGCATTCTTTTTTATTAAAGGAACGTTAAAAATTATTTAGAAAAAACATGCCACAGAATCTGGATAATTATACTTGCATGTGTAAAAAATGCACTTATCAGGAGCCATCATTTTATTCAGATCGACATTATAACATACCTTATATGTTCAAATCGACACAAGACATAACGATAAATTTATACGAAGACAAATCAAAGTTGTCTTTCTTATAATACAAATCGGTTAATTTTGCTCAATTACAAATGTGGGTTATAAAGAATTGTCTATCAAGACATAAGAATTAAATAACTTTACATATTAAACGTTTATAAATGATTGGTTTATTATATGATCAGAAATGACAAAACATCGAACTTGTATATAATCAGTTATATTTGAAATACAAACATTTGAACTTTACTAAAAACGTATTGTAATAAAACCCTAACAATTATACTTCATATATTGTATGTGATACCCGTGATAAACAGCTGTGCATGGTGCGAGATATAAAATAATATGTTCAACAAAATATAGCAACATAATCAAATTAAAAAAAACCAATTCATTCAAAGGTGAATCAGAAAAAAGGTTTCGCATATAAATTATTATAAAGTAGGGAATAAGTGCATATTGGTATTAATTTGTATATTTGTATTTCACTAGCACAAAAATAAAGCACCAACACAGTCAGTTCTTGGAGGTCTAGTAAACACGACTGGTTTGAAAATGCTGACTTGGTAAATAACTTGTATAAAAGATCAATTAATCCGCAAAACCTGACGTTATTAGCAAGTACAATCGTTAGGGATTCCCATCATCCAGTGATTTCTCAAAGCAAACACTTTACACAGTATTATAACCTGTTTCCTTTTTTATAACTTCTTTATCAAGAGCTCCTGTATATAAATGGAACTAATAGGTAGTCGTCCTTCATAGACATATTTTTCTGTACATTTAAGTATACTGGATATACATGTTGAACACTGTAACATCCAAACATCTATCGATCTAACAGTATTTATAAAGTCTTATATAATATAACAAATATCAAAATCAATTGTAACACTGTAAAAAAATAATCTTACTCCTGGTAAAAAGAGTAAATGCAAAGTACATTGGGACCAATGTTATATTACCAACAAAGTTTTGGCAGAACACATGTTTCTTCTAAACCATTGACTCACCTTATAGTTACAAATCAGTTGTATTACAATATATTTTAAACATTTACTAACAGGCACTCTATTTTCAATTGATGAAAATTATATTTGAATAGAAAAATATATATAAAAATATAAACACACCGCATGGTTAATTTAAGTAAAAAATGTAACATACAAAAACATCAAAAAAAAAACTATAACACGTCATGAAAAAACTAAAAAGTAAAATGTTCTGTTGTAAAAAAATTAAAACAATTGCATTTAAAAGGCTTAATATACATTGCTAGCAAACCATACGTCAAAACATCCATAAGATGTACAACACTCGAACGCAAAGTCACTATTATCGATAGTCTTAGTAATCACAATTATCATTATACTTTTGTCATGATAATTAACTGCTGAATTCCATCATACAACCTGAAAAGAAAGCAAATAATAAAATTATCATTAAAAGTAAATACAATAAATCACTTTTACCATCCTGTTTTTGTAATTAAATGTTAAATTAAAGGTAAATCATCGGAAGGGGGGGGGGGCTTCAATATTTAATTGATAGCGGGTGCCGCTGGGGTTCAGGGATTTCCTATATTGGTTGGGTTTCGTGAGTGGTGTGTTGGAAAAGTGGAATACCAAAATGTCAAAAGAAGGAAAATGTGTGGATAAAAACACAGCAGGGAACACCAAGAAAGTTGCTGGGCTTTTCATATAACAAGTAATGGGAACTTTATTGACCTTATCATATGTTTCTGATAGTTGTCTCCACCTATTCACGTATTTTCAAGCTGGGAAATGTGACCTATTCCAGCGGCACGTCCTATCAACCTGTATAAAGGGATTGCCCCCCTCCCCACCCCACCCCCACCCGGGCCCCCGAGGCTAAATCCAGATTGGGACACACGAAATTAATACAGCGTTTTTTATTTATTTTGTAATGGAATATATGGGTCAGAGATGACTACGGATATACCATTTGCCATGGTTAAAACCTCTACCTCTACCTCCTAACCTCATTAATTCTAAACATTCTGTTTCACACCTGATAAAATCAAGGTACCTAAACAATCAATTGCCATTTTCGTTTTAAATACGGTAAAATCAGACTAAATTTGTTGTCTTACTTTGCTTACTTCCCCTACAGTTTGGCAATTGGAACCAAACAATGCAATTTCACAATAGTACATTCGGATATCCATAGCTTTTAAGACGCAAATCATATAACTTTTTACATGAGTTCATGCAACTTTAGGATATTCACTGGAGAAATTCAATATAGCCTCATTTTTATTATTAAGGCATTTTTAATGAGAATGTGCAATACATAACATTTTGGAAAATTAGAGATAGGTATTTGTGATTTTTATTTGTAGGTAGACAAAAATCTTTTATAAAAAAGACTTTCAGCGGGAAAAGATGTCACTACCATTTTTATGTGAAATTGATGAGAAGAAACGAATGTTCAACTGTGTGATTAATCATTTATAGTAATAGTACACAGATTTTAAACATAAGACGAGAACATAAGATATATATTGATAAACATATAGAGAAATATAGGGTCGTTAGACAAACTTTTACAATGTTGCACCACGGGAAAGTCAGAACGCTTACAACCTATTAAATATTGGACATCTCCATGTGTTTTCAATTTGTCTAAGTCATGTTTTGTCTAATAGGCTTTAGACATTTTGATTCTACGTGTAACACATATCCAGTGTTTGTTATTGTCTTTTATTCTTAAATTATTAAATAAATTTTACCATATGTTGATTTTCTTATTTGGTAGTAGTAACGGTTTGCAATTAAATTTTCTGTAAAATTTTAGGCTCTACTAAGCTAATTCAGTTCTGGTGAATGATCAGCGTTCAAGGACATATAGAGACAACATTATTTTTATGTGTAATCCGTTTGTTTTGTTAACTTACAAACTCTCCTTAAATAACTGTTCTTATATTTTATAAAACATGTAAAATGCAATATACAAGTATTCAAAGACATGTGTTCTTACACCATGATAAAATTATAAGGACATACGGCATGTAAACAGCGTTTGTTATGTACGTGTATCCTCTATTCATGCATTTCATCCCTCATGCAACATTATATATTTTCCCAAAAACATCTATACATGTTTAAAATAGAATGTGGAGACATGTTTATGATGTGTATTGGTAATTAACATATTCAATTATACGATCAAAAAAGGTAATCGAAAATCAGATAGTATTGCGATCAAGTAATGCAAGAAAAAGTAAGCGTACATGCTGATCTGATTAAGAAAACATTACCTCATGCTAAGCGTTCGAAGGGTCCGTTAATGATTCTTGTAGCTGAAATTAAACGAATGATGCATCTAAACAACTGACATGCATTTTACTTTCATACAAAGTAATGTTAATTATTTAGTAGAGGATGAAGAAACATATATAAACAAATACATTTAGTAAGAAGTTAGATAAACTTATCTGTAGTTAATTTGTACCAGAGTCTACACAAGTGCAATCGACATGCTATTTTGAAAAGTATTTCACTCTAATTATTACAAAACAATACACCAATCTAGGAAATTTTTTTACGCAAACTTATACAAGTCTAAGAACTATTTGGTTCTTTTTTTACTGTGATTAACGATTACCCCAAAAATGGTGCAGCTCTTACCTAGTTTAAAATTGTTTTATAGGGAAACAATGTTGTCGCACAAAGATGCAAAAGATCAATAAAATATCAATATTCCATTTAATTTATTCGGTTTCAATTTCGAACATTTAAACTAATGCCGTTGCGCAAAAATGCAAACAAAAATATTGTTGCGCAAAAATGCAGAACATCAGTAAACTAAAATATAAATATTGAAGTTCCTTCCATAGTTTTAAAAATTATTACAGAAAATAAAGTTGTTATGCAAAATGTAAAACATTACTAAAACTACATTTTGTAACCAACCATGCAACTATATTGATATATTTTACGTTTATTTTTTCTAACCAGATTATTTCCCGATGGAATTCATGCTTGCTAAAGGAATTTATGGGGCAAGTGTTATACAAAACGACGACCGCAGTAAAATATATAATAATCACATTTCAACTACCAATATAAAAACATTAAAACACACAAACAAATTCAACATTAATGAATTGAAATCACACGAATATTCCGATCCAAAAGGCCTATCTGTCACATAAACATGTTTAAAGAGATACAGATACCTCATCCAAGTGAGGTAAAATCATCAACTTGTAAACAGTGAGATCACTTAATCACAAGAACAGTAGAAGCTATAAATATATATGATATATGGTATATATGATCATGTAAACTTCTGGAGATGATGCTAATATCTATCAGAGAAGTAAAATATTTCACAATTAAGAAAACCAAGGAAACAAGCATTCTGAGAGTATTGCATGGCAATACATAGTCCCCTACTGGGTAAAAATTCATTTTACTGGACAAACGCTAACTTGTTCTATAACTTGTCATGGTGTAAACAAAAAGTAAATATCATGTCAATATCTTCAAGCATGACTAAAAACAGTGTTGAAAACTGATTATGAGTGAAAAAAAAAATTAGATATGATTAATAGTTCTCTAAAATTAGATATGATGCAATACAGTGTAATCTATTTTCAAATTATAATCAAATATAATTAATAGTTCCAAATACTTTTTCTTTCATTTGTCACAAACTAATATAGATTTGTAACTCATCTATAAAATGTCAACAACTTTTATCTACACAATGTAATGTATTGAAATATGTACATTAATAAAAATAGATTATTAACTTATTAAAGGATTTCTCTTCATAACTTTTTTTTATATCTATAGCATTCAGAAAATTAGTTTATACTAAATAACAAATAAACCTGCCAAAAAATTCTTCAAATAATTTAACAAAGAATGTCTTTTAAAAAATGAATTATCTCCCTTTGTACAGAAATATGGTTTACATAGTACTCTAACATTAGATATGGTCCAGAGTTATGGTCCATAACTCTAGACTAAATCATCAGACCGTAACAAAATTCGAACTTGATCTATAACTTGTCGTGATAAAACTATATACCAAATATCAAATCAATATATTCAAGAACGAAGAAAAAAAATGTGGAAAGCTGATTTGCCGGACTGACGGATGGACAGACAGACAGATGGACAGACGGACAGATGGACGGAGTGCAAACCTAAAGTCCCCTTCGACTTCGTGGGTAGGGGACTAATTACAATTTCTCTTTTGTTAATACATTTTGTACTTAAATCACATAATTCATGTAAAAATCTATTGAATGAGTATTTGCTGTATTTCAATTTTTAGGAGTTAAGATGCGAACAAACGTTAATCTTAGGGCTTTTATCATGTTTACTTTCATGTTGAATAAAATACATGATTCGACCAAACATTTTCTTTTGAAATGTCTGTACAATGTAAATAAGAAAACAACTATACTTGAATCAGAACGTAAAGAAAACAAAAGTGAATATATATGCATTTGATCTCGGGAGTATCTTTTGAAAAGATTTTCCACAAACTGAGATCCAATATGTAATATAAGGTCCCATTCATAAAGTAGCCGGTATATGGACATCAATTTTTTTTATAAATATACCTATAAGTAACGTTAGTTGATTTGTTGTTCTTTATTGACAACCTTCTTCGATTTTGCTTTACAAACTTCATATTCTATACAAGTTTTTTTTCATACTAAAGGAATAATTAATTAGAGATAAATGTAGGAAATAGCGGTTTATGTATTTACGGTTTAATATATATTGAATGAAATTGAAAAAAATCGTACTTGATCTGAATTTTGTGGTAAAATGTAATTTGTACAATAAGTGCTTGTACAAATTACAATTTGTACAAAATTTGACAAAAATTCACTTATAACTTGTACAATAATTTATAGCATGGATTTTGTTATAAAAAAGCATTGATACACACTAAAGAATTTTTATTCAATGACCACACAATAAACCTTATTTACAAAATATAAAAATAGTTCTGTATCATTTGTTTGAGCTTGTGAGTGAATGATAGCATCGGGAATTGCACAACATATTTTTTGCTTTGTACTTTTACAAAAGAAGTGCTGCACCTCCACCCCCAACCCCCCACCCACTCACCCCCTCATTTTGCATTTACATGAACCAGTTTTTGGAAGCTTTTAACTGCTTTACGTAGCGAAAGTTGAAGCTTAGAAAAGCCCAGAAACCGTTACTTCGAATAAAGATGCGTCTTTAACAACTTCAATTTGATTTCTCCACAAATATCCTGTTAAAAATCCTACAGCTGTTCCTATATTCTCCAGATTCAATAATTACACCTAAGATATTTCGAGGATCAGTTGGGGCACGATCAAACTGAGGAATTGGTATAATGACATTATCTCCCACAGCAAGTTCTGATAATTTCCATTTAGTTTTCTTGGTTAGATATTCGGCTTGGATGTGTTGGCCAGACAGTGCATGCTTCCTGTTACATATGATTGGTGTTTCAACCTAAGTGTCATCCTGATTGTCACTCGAGCGAATTCCTATTATATTATCAGAATTGTCATTGGGGCCAATTTCTATTATACCATCAGAATTGTCACTGGGGCCAATTTCTGTTATACTATTAGAATTAACTGGCATGGATGAATCAATTACATTTTCTCTCTCCATCTGGGTATTTTTGTATTTTGTAAATAAAGTTTATTGTGTGGTCATTGAATAAAAATACAAAGTCAAAATACAAATTATAATTTGTACAATTATAATTTGTACAATATGATAACTTGTACACAACACTGAAAACACTTCTGATTCTATTATCAAGACCGAACGGAGATAAGTTTAATAGCATGCCATGATAAAACATTCAAACAGTGCATTAATTACCTGTCCATTTTCCTGATCTCGGTACCTATTATGGTCTTCCTTTAACTGAACGTCTATTGTTATTACACGTAATTCTCTAAAACAGCTCACAAAGGTTATGACAAAGGCCATGATTGACAGTGCTAGTAGCCATTCGGTTATTGTTGACAGCAAGAAAACGCCTCTTAGTTTGTCCTGGAAATAATTGAAAGAAAGATATATCCCCCAATTCTCAAAAATCATGTTTATTTGACTACAACGCATGTTACAGAAACACAATACTAAATACTAGTAGTAGGGTATCGAAGATTGATGTAAATATGTGTCTGTCACCAATATAATTTTCTTCAGATGACAAAAACACTCTGTTATAACCAAAGGCACTGGTCACGCACTTTAAAAGTGTGGCAGAATTCAGCTGTTTTAATTTTGTGATATATTCATGTACATTATATATTCAGATTTTAGTGAGGAGAAAAGAAAACAGGTCTTAAAATACTTGTTACTCCTGAGCAATTTGTACAACTGTTCATATTGTAATCAATTCTACGTATCCACAATAGGTTACAAACAACATTTTATTTGATACCGTAATATTTGGTACTGTTTTACTTAGACGTATGATTAAGTCATAAGCAATGCGATATTATACAATTAAGTGTTTTTTCTGAACTATTGGTCGTACTTCTATTTATTATTTTAAGGTCACTACATACGGAAAAGCTATTGGCGAATTATAGTACGGGAAGACAATAATGCAATAGCATTGCATTTCTGCGGATTTTGATAAGATAAAGAATTTCCTTTTTACAATAGTCTATATGCACACGTGTTTTATAGTAAAACTTAACAATTCAAATCAAGTCGATGACAATACTGCGAAATCTATAAATCACATAAGCAAATATGAAATTTACCAACAAATACATTTACCGATTAAAAATAAAGAAAATGTATGTATCACAGCATAAATATAATCAACAGAATTTCGGAAGGACTAAGTATGCTACCGATTGCGTCCCGCGAGAAAAAATGTCGTGATTTAATCATATGTGCATATTCTATATAAAATTTGTAACCGCATAGTATCGTGGCGTGCACAAAGTTGAAGGCAACTGTAAAAGGAGCTTTTAAAAGTAGTTTTATACAACCGTGTTTAAAATATCTTTTAAATAGGAAGTTTTTTTTATGATAAAATGATGAATGCTAGCCATTAAAATCCACATTACTAATAAGGTTATCAAAATTAAATCTATAAAGTATGAAACGAACATAGAGAAAACGGCAAAAATATGTGAAACTTGTAATATTAAATAAGCATAAAATAGAGTTTTTGACCTTAAATTTATAAAAATTCAACATATTTTCCCGCATTTTCGTATAATAGAATTTTTCGGATTCGGACTATGACGTCATACGAAATTCACCGCAAAAAAATTGAAAAACGGCCGTGGTGGATGCGTTTGGAATGTAGTTCGTTATGTGTAAGAAGTAGTAATTTGGAAGGATTAATATTCGAAAATGGAAGAATCGGTAAGAAAAAATATCTAATTGCTATTTTTTTATTTCAAAATAACTTGATGTTTCAAATGTGCATAACAAGAGATTTAAAAAAATCTGCAAAATATGAATGATTCGATAGTCCAGGCTGAACACCTGAATTGTTTTAATGTCCAGCTATTATGTTACAATTTAAAGAAATGGCGTTTTAACGCTATTTTCTGAATAGGGTCCACGACATAGTCGCTTATTATTTCCATTACACTGCTCTTAGCATATATCTATTTACATTTCCAGAATGTGCATATGCTGCACTTTGTTGTTAAAAAAAAGAAATATGTTGAACGTTTATGTTTAAAGCTATGTGATAAACTAAGTGTCCAGTGTTTTTGTTACGCGTTTGTTTTCTGGGGGAAAATGCCGACGTCGTAAATGATTGAAGTAATTTGAAGACGTTACGTTTGTGTACTCAGCTTTATGCACGCCGTCTATGTAAAATACTATAACTTGATTCAGGAAAAATCTCAATGAAAGCCATCACCTACATCGAATACAAAAACTTATTAATTGAAGCGGTGATCTATATTTTTAATTTCTCGTGACCTTTGTACATCGAAATATACTTAAGAGAAGGAAATATTAGAAAAGTCTTCCTTCAGTTTGTTTACTAACTTAAATAATACATTTTCAGAAATGTAGATCACTTTAATATATATAATACGTACCCATTTTGTGTACTCCGGATGTGCCTTCCGCTGCATTTTATAATACGTTTTTGAAAAAGAAACTTAATCGAAAGTTAAGGCAATTATCAATTAGTGGTGAGAAGTGACAACAGCTTAATGTTTTAGGGGGGACATACATTGCATTTCTGCAAATAAAATAACATTTTTATACTTCATATATTGTGGGTTTAACGCGTCAAGCAGACGAAAATAAATATTTTTAAGTGGAACTTCTTAGGCTTACATCATGTAGAAAAACACACTCCACGCACAATACATGAGAAAACTATTATATTTTGAATAAGGAGAATTCATGAACCTTATGAAGCCTTTTTGTATAGTAAAAATCTTGAAATTGCTGAGAGTTATTTAGTATTTTGTCAGCAAAGATCTTGAGAGAGTTTCAGTTAACCTCTTTAAATTTCCGGGTTTTAAATATTCAATGCGCGTTTTTAAAACAATATCTGATGTTAATCAATTACGATAAAAAAAGGATACACAGCAAAAATATTATGCAAGTGGCAATAGAATTAATAATTTGCCACACAAACTCCCATCTTGCTCTCTGTAGCTTAAATGTGAAAGCTGTTTGCAACCAAAGGTATCCCACTGCCAGTGTAAAACAAAGGAAAGCACCTGTATAATGAGGTGGCTTCATGGTATCCACCTGTAAAATAAACATACATTATATTAAAACTTGATTAGCACTTCTTCATTTATCAAGGGATTATTTTTTCATTAAAAGACGAAATCTTGCAAACCATTTACACTTGTTTTGATGATTTGATGATTTGAGAACTCACATACAAATTATATTGTGTTTCTCATCTTAAAATAAGAAAGCAAGTAATTCAGAACAAATTCAATAACTAAATATATATTAAGTAACCTAAAATGTTTTCTCCTAATAAGTTTTGACAATTATTTCAACATTTGCTATAATGAAAAAGGTAATATAAGGGAGAGGTTACACATTACTTTAGGTTTTGCTTAATATACACATTATCATCTTTATCTAATTAAAAAAGCAAACAAATTATGTCAACGCTTACTTGAAAACATGCTACCAATAAGAGACCTAATGACGACAATATAGCTAGAACAAGTCCAGCAGTATTTGCTCTCTGCCAGTGTTTACTAAAATTTGCTCGGTTTCTTGTCATCTTTTCTCTGATAAATAGAAATCTCATTTCAGCATTTGCAGCCACTGAAAATAAGAATTTGAACTCAACATCAGGTTGGCATGTATACTTGTTCACATGTAAATTACTATACAACATTACAATGTAATTAAAAGTTAGAAGAGATGTATGCAGCAGCAAATGTGTTTTATTTCCGTTGTTTTGGGATAAACGTTGAAAACATCGTTTGTTAAAGCATCACCAATTATCAACAGGGGTTGTTGAAGCGTTTGTCAACTAAACATAGGTTAAAGTCAAAAGTCAATGGCAGTTATAAATGGTTCAATACAGTCTGCATAGATGATACATCAGTTTGGTATAAGACAATTTTCATTTTTGTTTTATAGTCATCTCAAAGAATAAATAATCAGAAAAATTTGTTGGTAGCTTACTTCGAATAATCGTTTGTTAAGTCTGTATAAAATTGATACAGACGTACCAGACACTACCATGGACTTGGATGGCAAAGAATTCATTGTATCCATTAAATCATATCATTCTATTTGGAAAACAAATATATGACCAATTGGCCATATAAAATTTAATATGCTTCTAAAATTAAGACTTTTATAATAATTTTATCACAATTTACTTTGAACTGATTTGTGTAAAATTGTATATCCTCATTTGTCCCCAAATATCATAAGTAAGAAACAACATTGTGTTCATAACATGAATAAAATGAAGGTATAATGTTGTTAAGGGTCCAGCTGAAGCCCGACTCCGGGTGCGGGAATTTCTCGCTGCGTTGAAGACCCATTGGTGGCCTTGGGCTGTGTTCTGCTCTTCGGTCGGGTTGTTGTCTCTTTCACACATTCCCCGTTTCCATTCTCAATTCTGTAATTATTTCAATCGGCAATCCTCGGGTGAATCCGAATCGGATACTCTTAACGAATCGGCCGAGTTGTGACGAATGATAATGATCTATCCACAAAATTCGTATCATAATGTATTGGATATTGATCGTGCAACTGCATCAATATATAATATCCATTTAAAATCATTACTGTAGGTTTTGGTCCAATTTGAAACTTCCACTTCAAAACTGATTAAAAAAACTTACACATGATAGCTGACACAGCAACACAGAACGTAAATATACCACTCTCTGGTTCTTCTACGCCAGTATAACTAAAAACAAAATTAAAAAAAGATCTTAATAAATATGGATTTTGAAAAGAGTAAAGGATTTATTGTACTCTTTGTAAATGTTTATAATAAATTGCTCACTAACTAGTAGATGTTCTTGTTTACAGATTGTGTTTGTTCCATACTCATTCATTTTATCAGTGTATTTGTTTTTAGATAAACCAAATTTGCGTTTTATTCTTGTCTCTGAAATGTTTGAATTTTATATATATCTAGGGCATGCTATGCCTTAAAAAAAATTCCAGATGCACAGGTTTGTCTGCACTCAGATAAATTTCATAGGGTCCACATGAACCTTAATTGCCTTCAATTGAATAAGTGAAATTTTATTGTGATAACCGATTCTTTTGACGCGATTGGTTTTCTGTAGGTTCATAATATGTGTGTCTGTGTGTCGGTAACTTACTTTATGGGGGGGGGGGGGGGGGATTTGAACTCTGATGCTTCTTTTTCGTACAGAAAACACTATAATAGTCTTAGTGAGATATTTTATACAAGCTGTGAACAATGTAAATTATCTGGAAAGACTGATTCGAGCAAAAATGAAGAAAAATAATTTATCCTTATCGGGGGTCAATGGATATATAGATGAGGGTCTTGAGAGAGAGATTCTTCAATTCTCTATTCTTTAATTTTTTAAAAGCCATTTTTCTCTATTGGTTGCTCATTGTTCTTTATTCTTTATACTTTTACACCCCATTTTTCTCTATTTTTTATTTTTGGGCACATTTTTCTGTAGTATTGGTTATTCTATATTCTGTAAATCCCATCCAGTCCATCATAGATCTAGATACGTGTATTAGTCCAAGCCTTACCTAATATATGGAAAATCTGGAAATGTGTGATTCTGTGCAACAGCTAGCCCATATCTGTGAGAAAAATACATATTTACGTTTATACGAAAGGGCAAATAGAAATGATTGAGAAAAAGTATATTTCTGAAGAGCATAAGGAAATTTGAAGTATTTTACAAGTTTAGTGAGACGTATATAACAATAAACTCATCTTTATAAATACATACATACTTTAAATAAAACGGAAACAATAAATCAAAATTAATAACAATCACGTCTGCATTTATTATAAGTATCAGATCATAAAACTATATCTATTCGCGAATGTTCCATGAATCACATCTCAAAATTCACACATATTCGAGTAATAATAAATACAGAAACTGACACAAAATCACGTATCTATTGCTTTTATGATCTTGTACACGTCCAAAAAATGAAAATAATAATTTACAAATTTTCTGCGTCCGAAGCGCTTTTCTGGATACAACTATATGTTATAGAAAATATATTTGTTTTATTCACACACTACAATAACATAACATCTAGCATTTGCTAGTTTAAGTTGGCTTTTTGCAAAGGGGACTTTTCGACATTTTGTAATAACAAAAACTGGATCCACCGTTTTTAAATGTTCACTTACTAAATAAAATTCTTTTCTTTTTTTACAAGAAAAGTTATCTTCTAATTTTTTTAACTTGTCTCGTTACCTGTCTTTACCTATAAAATATTTTCTATATGGTTATATCAACCCAAACCAACCCTCTTTGATATAACCATATAGAAAAAAATTGGTTGGTTCACGTTTCTCCAACATTTGATAATTAGATTAAAACAACATTAACAACAAGAACTGAAACAGGTGAATTACAGGTAAATATCAAGATGCAAGTCCTTAAGCACTGTGTATCATCGCCACCGGAAATTGGGTACTAACGAAATGGAGAGAAATGGAAAAAAAAGTAAACAAGGTAAGAATTCATTCAATTTAAAGCATTTCTACTGATTTGACGAGGGTACCGCTTAAGAAATGATTTTCTGATATATAATTCTTTAAATTATTAGGCCGATAAGTACAAAATTAAGACAATATTGTGTGTTATACTCCAAAGCTTGCCACTTAGTACCTGAAAATTTCGAGGTCGATTGTCCTCTGTCGCCCCATTGGCAAGATATTCAACTGTTTTTCATTATTTTTCTAGACACGTTTTTAGATTATGATAGTGTGACATCATATTGACTGAAATCTGTTGTCATAAAGATGTTTTTAAAGAATATGGACCAAAACATTGTTTGTTTATTGTACGGCGAATTGCAGGACGTTGTACGGCGAATTGCAAAATAACAACTTTTGTCTGTACGGCGTCTTGCAATATATTGTAATTTAAAGATGAAATTAATCACTGTTTAGATAATATCAAGTGACAAAATGTTGGCTGTATCAAAGCTTTACCGGCTTACAAATATACAAAATAAACTACTTATCAAATATTATAAAATATATGCCGTTAATTTCGTTCAGAAGTCGTCGTTGCGTACCTCTATTTGACTTTTTGTTTTTAAAGACAAAAAGGTTTTTTTCAACCATATTATCCTAAATACATTCATATATCGTTATAATACTAACGACTGTTGTCTTATTTGTTGTCAGGGTGAAATTTTGTAAGTTCAATAAAAAAAACCGACCATTCATCTTTTGTTGGCGCTGTTTTTTTTTTTAAATATAAACAGAGGAGATGTTGTATGATTGCAAATAAGATAACTATCCACCAGGGTCAAATAAAGTGTATGTAAGCAATTATATGCTATCGTTTGGCCTTCAACAACCAAAAATCGTACCTTACAGTCGGCTATAAAAAGCCCCGACATGAAAATTGTGGAAGGATTCAACAAGAAAACTAACGGCCTAACTCATAACAAAACAATTAACGAAAAATAACAAATATGATAGAGATGAACCAACGACAACCACCAAACTACAGGCTCGTGGCTTCGGACAGACACATAAAGAATGTACTGGGTTAAATAGATATAGGAAGATATGGTATGAGTGCCAATGAGACAACTCTCCATCCAAGTCACAATTTATAAAAGTAAACCATTATAGATCAAGGTACGGTTTTCAATATTGTTTATTGTTTATTTTTTCAATTTCTGAAATGAATAATTTGTTAAAAGAAAAGTGAAGAAAATACTTTGTTTTCATTGAAAATTAGGAGAAATAAATCATGAATTGTTTTTCTAATTAATTTTCTTGTTTCTTATTGAAAATAAGATTGTATTTTTTTTTTTAGTTTAAGTAAATTCAATCAATCTTTTTATTTACAGGGAAAAAATAATAAAAGACTGTTGCTAAGGCTGTTTGACCTAAACTTAAATGAGTAGATGGAGGGGTAGTGAAAAGGAGTGTATTCGTCCGAATTTTCATTGTTACAGTAGTACATTTTCATGATTACTATGTATAATATTTCTCAGTAAATTTTAATGTGATATTGTGCCAATTAAAATTATATAATTAATACAAATAAGACTTGCATTTGCCTTAAAAGATATAGCAGTACGTGATTATTTGTTTTCCAACACACCTTCTCTGTTTTGAAACTTATAAAGGTATGGATCTGTTTGGTTGAATATAAATGTGAATTTTCAAAATCAACAGTAAGCCCTATTTTTGTGTGTGTGTAAATAATCTAATCTTTAGATAGATGCTAAAATTAAAATCATTTTTCTTAATAAGAAGAAAAAAGTGCAACTTAAGCACGCCTGAATGTAAAAAGGTGTACCCGACTTATTCGTTCGCTTTTGTGAATTGTATTAATAAGTATATAATATTAAGATGACAACCAAAAAAAACTTCATACAAGGTCATCTTTATTCTCAAGTAGAAAGTTTATATGAATAGTTTATGCCGTAGCAACAGCCGGATTTGTATCCCTTGTATCGGATTCTTCTTTCATTCTTTCCAAAAATCTAAGGTTAATATTTTTTTTAAATTTAAACAGTGTTAGCCACCGAGCTTGTTCATTTCTTACTATATAGAGATGAAGTTTTTTTTTAGAAAATTAATGTTCTTTATTCTAATATATTGGCTGTATCTGCCTTTTACAAATAAGACAATAACATTAATTGAAAAAGGAGACGTGAAATGGTTTTCACTGAGAGGACTTTCAAACAAAGTCCAAATGAAATAGATTTGACCAACTATTGGTAACTATACACTTCACAATGAACAAAACCCATACCGTATCAAAATTGCCTGATTTATGACAAAATCATAAACAAATATGTCAGGCAGCAACTTGCGACAGCCGCTATATTACATGTTCCTGACCAGGAACAGACACATATATATTGAGGCGGGCTTAAACATGTTTGTGAGCACTCAAACCTCCCTTAACATGGTGCCGTGGTGTAGCAATACAACATTTTTTTTGCAGAGAATGATAATTCTTTCATATTTCATTTTATCTGAAAGTTGAAAGAGAATTCATTCACTTATTGGTTCTAAATATTCAATGCGGAAAACTTCTCCTGCCATTACCTCCTTCCTTCCATCCACCCACAACCCATCCCCGAAATGTTTATCACTTATATGCAAATGCTGACTAATGTTGTGTGGTTAAAACATTTGGTTGAGGCAATCTAAAGTTTGAGAACAGAAACGACAGCTTTAGCTTTTTTTCATTTATAAAAGGGCATAACTCAAAAACGGTAACAGTGACGCTACCCAATTTTTAACTTGATCTGTGTTTTGTGGTGATAAGCATTTCGTGTAAGTTTTAAAACATTTGGTTAAGGCATACTAAAGTTAGAGAACGGAAACCAATTATTGGGACTTTCTGGACGGACGGGAATGACGGGTCGGACGGATATGGGTACTACATTTAACGCTACGTCAGGGCAGAACAACAGGTCAGTAAAACAGTGACATATATGCCGTATTCATATTGTATACATCAGGTATGTAAAAGATGTAATAGGACTGTGTTCAAGCCTTATATTGTGTATACATCTTAAATGGTGTCAAGCGAATTGTATTTTTATCAAATGCATAATTAGATATTTGAACCTAATACTTTATTTTCTTTAAAAAGACGGCAAATAAATATTTTGAAATTAGCAAGTTGCCATACAGTTGAAAACAAGTTGCCATACAGTAAATTTGTCAACATGAGCAAGTTGCCGTACCCTAGACTTTATTTTTTTATGGTCTATATTCTTTAAAAACGTTCATTTTGACAACAAATTTCAGTAAATATGATGCCACACTATAATAATCTAAAAAAGTGTCTGGAAAAATAATGAAAAACAGTTGAATATCTTGCCAACGGGGCTACAGAGGACGATCTACCTCGAAATTTTCAGGTACTAAGTGGCAAGTTCTTGAGTATAACACGAAATCTTGTCTTAATTTTGTACTTATCGGCCTAATAATTTAAAGAATAATATCAGAAAATCATTTCTTAAGCGGTACCCTCGTCAAATCAGTAGAAATGCTTTAAATTGAATGAATTCTTACCTTGTTTACTTTTTTTTTCCATTTCTCTCCGCTTCGTTAGTACCCAATTTCCGGTGGCGATGATACACAGTGATATTTATAATATGTACATTGTCACGATAGTAATGCATTTAGTCAAAAAAAGAGGGGTCTCTTCCTATATGATAGTTTACATAGACGTTGTCAAATATATCAATGAGGTGCAATTTCACCGAGGTAATATTATAGCAGTTTTTCATAAACCGGTCTTCCATTAGTAAGATGTCTGTAAATACGACGTACATCTCCTTTAACATCTAATGAGTATGAATGGTCCCATCTTTGTCTGTAGAAATTAACTTTTATGGACACGAGTTAAATATTACTAATAAATTTAATTTAAGATGATCAAGATTGTATAATTTATAACTGAAAAATATTTGAATTGTTTAAAGTTTTGTCAAGAAATATATGTACAGAAGGCGAGAATTTTCACAAATTTATGAATGGGGTGTTTTTATTTTAACCAAGCTGCATCCTCGGCTGCATCCCAGTACCAGAAATCGTTTGTTGAACCCAATTCCCCCCTCCTGGTATATAGTTTAGACTTACGTAGTTGCGAATGAAAACCAAATCCACACATTTGTTACTATAGGTAAAATCCATATCCATCTGCCCAAACACCAACTTGCAGCGAAAAACATATCAAGAACTTAAACTTATCGTCTTTGGAACACTGAAATATATAAAATACTGCACCTGAATAAACGCAGAAGTAAAACTAATTGGAATAAAGCATAAAAATTCTTTACGTAATAAATCTTGCCTTCAAGGAAATGGGATGACACCTACTTCAATGGGTTATGAACTCAAGTGTTTTGCTTCTTTCAGGAAATCAACAATTCATGTGTTAAGTGAATTTTCCAATTCAATAAATCAGTGTATTCTAGAATTAATTTATCTCTTACAAATATTTGAATGCAGTTTCACGGAATATATAAATATCATGGAAAGAATTCCATATGGCGCCCCTTGGAATTAATTGTAAGGTGTTAAAGGTGTTTACTTCATACAGTGAATGGATGCCAAATTGAACTCTTGAAACAAGAGTATGACAGCTGTTGTAATTTTGTACATTCATTATTATCAAGCTGCAATATAAATATAACAATTTTACAGTATAGATCTGATTCTTTACTTACTCCCCAATCGGGACTGAAACCTTTATACAGGTTTAAAGATGTGACAACTTTACGACAGACGTTCTCCATCGCAACACCTAACACCATCATTTATATATACAGTAGCGCCCTAGACCAATCAGCCAACTAGGCTAAATATTGCTTTGTGTTTGTTTTTTCTACATTGGCTAGAGGTATAGGGGGAGGGTTGAGATCTCCCAAAATATGTTTAACCACGCTTCATTTATATGTTTTGGAGTTAAGTATGACGTCCATTATCACTGAACAAGTACACATTTTTGTTTAGTGGCCAGCTGAAGCACGCCTCCGGGTGCGGGTTTTTCTCGCTGTGTTGAAGACCCATTGGTGGCCTTCGGCTGTATTCTACTCTTTGGTCGGGTTGTTGTCTCTTTGACACATTCCCCGTTTCCATTCTCAATTTTGAATACTAGTAGAACATATTTCGTTAGTCGAGTAATGCCTTTCCTCGTCGGCTGTATCTAAGAGTTTTAACATAGTACTTCACGTATAGTGGTATGTAGATTGTATATCTTGCAGATCAGCTGTTTTTGCGGGGTTTTTTTTTGTCTGTCGTAAAGGATGATTATTTACTTACCATGCAGTCACATCAATATTAATTTTATCATATGTTTTAAAATATATGACAACTTTACGGCATACGTTCTCAGCGGATTACTTATGGTTATACAGGGCTTAAACTCGTACAAACCCGATAAATTGAAACATTCACGTCGCAATCCGACTAAAAAGAGTATTCTTTACCAAGTGTAAAATTCGAGAGCTTTCTATCTAAAACATGCAGATAGTTTTTCATCTTGAAACTGACAGTATATCGAAAGCTTGGTTTCTTTTCTGATAATCTGAAGCTGATGGTGTATCGCCAATATCTCATTAAACTAGACACGGGGAAAAAAGTCTTGTAAGTGTGATGTAACCTTGCAATTCTAAAATTCATGAAAGAGCTTTTCTAAGATCAAGTTTTTTTTCTCTGCTTTCATTTGATCGACGTATCTTGATACATTTATTGTATAACAGTGTGAAATGGTGAAGAATTTTATATATCTGTTGATTTCTTTTCCCTTTTTATACATTTTTGTAGATAATGACCAGAGAAGACAATTAGGACCAACAGATGGTCTAATACCATAGAACTGGAAGTGTATAATGTCCTTGTATATATAACGCTTCTGTAATGAACAGACCGATAATAAACTGAATAGATTTGTGATGAATGCAAATGAGTCAATAACCCAACAACACAGCGAAAGAGAAAGAGAAGACAAAATAATCTGGGGTTTTTAAATTTCAACCAATAGCTAAATAGTTTGAGTAATTCAGTCAAGTTGCAGATAAGCTTGGCCACTTCCCTACGAATTTGTTTCCCTGTCATAGTTTATTTTGGAAATCGAAGAAAAAATACTGTTTCCTACCGGCATCATATGCAATACTTAATCCGCCTGGATAATGTTATTCCTAAATGCAAAACTCATCAACTGGAAAAATTATATATCACACATCTCGTTCAATGACGAAACATTGATTAATGAGTCCTCCAGAGGGCTTTTAAATTAACAGCCGATTACTGTACTGATCATGTTTGATATTTGGTTTTTTAAATCAGTCTATAGACCTTTCAGTCTGAGCGGTCATAAAAATGAAAAGAAGACAAAATTGCGTTCATGTGTTTAAAATTTAAATAACAACTTTAAAATTTAAAAAAATATTGATAATTGATTTATAAATAACCTAACATTATAGATATCGTTTATTACATATATGTTATATTAATTAATCAAAAGTGCATTTTAATGATGATTTATTCAACAATTACATATATAAAATTGATATAACCTACTAGAATGCTGATGTAATAATTTATTTTAACTTGATATTGCAAAACAAACAACAATTACATTGTTTATTTAAGAAGATTTAAAATATAAAAATATAAAAAAGTGGGACAATCGGGAATAAACCATCAAAACAATTCCCAATTGTCCCACATTTAAACTTCCCAAATGTCCCTTACAAGTCTTCCCGATTGTCCCACAAAATTTAATTACTTTTTTACCTGTAATTTCAAAAAGTGGGACAATCGGGAAGACACCTTCTGAATTTACTTTCATTAGAAACGATAGGCTGATGAAACTTGTGAAATTTAAATTTTCAAATAATAAATAAGTCTGAAAATTATAATTTTCAAAGATGTCTTGCCGGCATAAACAAATTTATTTAGTGCGCTGCATACTGCTGTTGAAGACGAATTTGGTTCAATATAGCAAACATAGCGCGTTTTTTAGAATTGGTATTGAAGAACATCCGGAACAAAATGAAATGATTTGAATCCAAACAATAATACATTTTTCACTTGTATCTTAAAGATAATACATTGTTTTTGAAGGTCTGGATGGGTTTTACAAAATAGAGAATAATGGACAAAAGAGCATAATAAAGGGATAAAAAAATAAAGAATAGAGACAAATTTGCAAAAATAATAAAGAATAGAGAATAATGGGGTGCGAAAATATAAAGAATAGAGAATAATGGGCCAAGCAAAATAAAGAATAGAGACAAATGACCTAAAAAAAATAGAGAAAACAGAAAGGAAGGACCCCGCATCCAGACTCTCGTTTTTGCCATCAATAAAAGTTTTTTCATGGTTTGAAATGTCCTTCAAATTAGTTTGGTCATATTTCTTATTTGACTATTTACTAAAAATGGTTCGAAAAAGTAAGGATTGTGTTCCCATAAATACCTTAGCTTTATTTTGAATTTTTTTTCGGAATTCTGGGTCCTTAATTTTCTTCAGCTGCACACTTTATTTGGCCTTTTAACTGTTTTTATTCGATGGTCACTTATGAGTCTTTTGTAGACGAAACGCGTCTGGCGTACAAAATTATAAGCCTGTTTTTTTTTTTTTGTGAAGAGTTATTAGATTATTATATTGCATGACCTACTGCCTAATACTAAGGTCTTGCAGAGAGAGAGAGAGAGAGAGAGAGAGAGAGAGAGAGAGAGAGAGAGAGAGAGAGTAATAACTGATCACTTTGTACACTTGTTGAAGGAGTGCTAAAGAAAACTGTCTACTTTTACGGCTCATTAACCTTTTATATATGAGGGTGTGGATGGGGAGTAATGGGCCAAAATAACATAGAAAAAAGAAAACTGGGCCAAAAAAATAAAGAACAGAGAATAATGGGGCGCAAAAATAAAAATAAAATAAAAAATAATAACCAAAAATATAAAGAATAAAGAAAAATAACATAAAAATGTAAAGAATACAGAAATAAACGACCCTCTTATATGTTTCACTCACGGGGTCACACTTCAAACTGGGATGAAACCTAGTACATACATGTACATATAACTAGCTCTATTTCTGTTTTATTTCAGATTTTCACTTTATTCATTGTTTAGAATAAATACATAAAGTTTGAGCTTTGTTTTAAAGCTGTGGATTTCGTAATTTGACTTCTCATTCAAAATACGAAAATCGGTTTTCACACTTTCAAATTATACACACGAAATTGTGATGTAGTAAATTTTACTAAAGATTGAAATACTTTTTAAAACGACTCCAGTGTGAATAAATTCAAGAGACAATTGACATCCCTCTTTTTCATATCTATTCTAGATACGAGACGGTCTAAAGATTGACATATCGTAAGACCGTATGATGACCTGTGTCCTTCGTTGAAATTAAAAAAAAAATATGCAAAATTTCCAATATCTTTTACTGCAATGTATAGCGCTGAAAAATTTAAGCATTCTAATGTTAAGGATCTGTGTAAAATGAATGTCGTATCTTTAAAGTAGATTTAAGGCTCTCTGGTATTCAATAACATATACATTTAATGGTTCTTTGCGTCGTTCGGCTGCTGTCTCGCACATTCCTTTCATCAATGATTTTTATATAGTAGGACTATTTGAATATTTGCTCTCATTTATAGAAAACTCATAAACGAAAGGAAAACCACTGGACCTTAAAAAGACCTCCCTTCTAAAATTAATGTTATCGAAGTCCATTCATGAGGATCCGGATGGAGTTTACAGAATCAAGAATAATTGGGGAAAAGTCCAAAAGAGAGAACTTGAAAAGGCAAAATAACGAATACAGAATAATCATGATAATGGGGGTGCTGAAATTTAAAAGGAGAATAATGCGCAAAATAAATTAAGAATATAGAGAAAATGGTATAAAAAATTAAAGAATAAAGAAATAAAAGACCACCCTTTCCAGACCCTCATTCCTAGTACTTATAGTAAGAAAAAAAAAACAGATTTTATTCAAATTGGAAAGTCCATTTATGATTACATTATGGCATTCCACAAGCTGCTTAATCTGTTTCGATAAGCCTTATAATTACTTCGTACTGGTTCTTAATCAAAGAAGTTCAAGAACGTATTTACATAAATACATGTATATAATTATACATGTATCGATCATTTATAAGTTTAGAAGTCGTGTTACCAGTAAACAGAAAGTAGAAATAATGATGCTAATATATATATATACTAAATATCTTTAAAATTTGAAACATGATTTCTAAAGTACGATCTAGAAAGAACTACATGCATTATGTACTATGTGACATTTTAATACTTACGGATTGATAAACGTTAAACGAAAAAATGCTTCCTTCAGTCAATTGTTTTCGATAATACTGAAACCGGAAGACACATTAGTATTTGCCATGATCTGAAGTAATTATCATAATAAATCGTGGGGCGCTTTAAGGAATATAAACAAGACAATGACAGATCTAAGCGGGAAATGCAATAATGTAACGCGTACGTAACACTGGAATGTAGTGCGTGGTCATTCATCAACAAATAACGTTAATTATGAGTGTGTTGTTTATTTTATCGATTTGCACCTTTCAACAAGAGAAGACCTGACGAAATGACGATATTGCTGTTCACTTATATTTTCTCATGTATAGGAGAAAAATCCACATAAATATAAAAATACTGTTATCTTACCTGTGTGAAATAACCTTAATAACATGTGGAGATGTAACATCTATGTCAAAATTGTTGTGTATGCATTGTCCTCAGGTAAAATGACCTGATTCGTCAAGCATGTGTGGGAAGTCGATTATTAAAGGAACAAAACTTCAATTATACCAAATTCGCCGATTATATATATTCATGAATCATTGTATTCTGCACACATATTTATTTTCACTGTTATCAATGAGCCATTGTAAATTATAGACCCACCTATAAATTTAAGGATTTTACTGCAATTATCAATAGGAGACACGAATTCAGATTTAGTAAATTTCTAAATATAGAAATATTTAAAAAATAAAAAAATAAAAATCAGAACTGAATGTATAATGAATTAAACTAAAGGAATTTATTTGAAAACCATATTCTGTGTCTTTTAATAACTTTCGAATTACATGTGATCACTATAGATATAAAAAAAGAAACCTTTTTCTATTCATTAATCATTTTCCGAATTTTTGCTAATTAACTATAACTTCCAATACATAGGTTTCTTTAGTATTAACAGAGACATATAATACAATTGTATTGATTATATTTTAGATATGTCTCTAGTAACAATTGACGTACCCATGTATCTGGTTTTTTTTAAGTAAATACTTATTAATATTTTAACTTATTTTCACTCATCTAATGTGTTCTTGCTCTTATCCATATGTTTTATAATAAGTTACTTAATTGTATTTATGATGATAGTCGAAATCGTGAATGGTTACCACCTATAGGAGTTATTGACCATAAAAAGGCGATTTTTAAACATTTTTGCATTTTTTGCAGAAACCATTATAACAAAGAGAAATTGAAAACATCAAAGATGGTACACATGTATAGAATAAGAATATTTATTATTCCAATCAAGGGCCCTTGATGGGCAGCATAACATGTACACATAAAACAATACATCATGATTTGTAACAGAAAAACATTTTTATATATTAAAATGAAACATTAAAAAGTTCAGACAGATGATATATAATAAGTACAAAGATCTACAAATAAGAAAACTTGGCCGAAATTTTCAACTGACTTCAACTGACTCCTTTAGGAGTTATTCCCTTGAGAAAAACAAATTTCTACCCCTTATATGAATTTTGAGTAGAAGCTTTAAGATATTATATATACGAACAAGATAACATGCTTGCAGTCGACAATTGACCCCTTAAAGGAGATATTGCCCTTAAAAAAGAAAACTTACCAGTTTTTGCGTTTTTTTGTTGTTGTTTTTTTATGCAGAAACTTAAATATGTAGACAGAAATATGATCTACAAAAAAGTCAAATGGTCAAAATTGGAAACCGACTCCTTATAGCTCCTGAATAATGACTTTTACCCATTTTATGCATTACTGTAAAAAAAAACTATAGAAGATAGTCAACGTGGCTAAATTGTCGGACTCCACACTAGTGTATAAATTATTGCCCTTCAAAGAAGACTTTAAAACTATTTTTTTATTTATAATTTTGCCAATCATCTCGAAAACTTTAATATATAAGTATAAACTAAAAGCATTAAAAAAAGAATAGCAATACAAGATCTACAAAAATACCCCTAATTAAGATTTACAAATACGCAAACATAACTGATTGCAATAAAGGTAAAAATAAATTTTTAGATGGCATATTTTTACTAGGAGAACGATTCATACTCTTAGGATTCTCTTGTTTTAATATTTATTCTACAAAGAATTGTTTATGCTTCTTTTATCATGCATCATTCATAACTACTGCATTTGTTCCGGTTTCTATGTTTATAGTTTTAAGTACACGGCGATTTAATGTATTTCCTCTTATTTGTGTCCACATGTACAAATGCCCCTCATACAGGTAGTAATCTCTATTGTTTTCCTCTCTTTTTGACGTTTTGATGTGAATATTTGTTTTGTTTTGTTTGTTTTCTGTGTTCGTTTTGGTTTGGTTTAGATTAAATGCCATTTTTGTTGTTTTATTTCATTGTTTTTTTTTGCTATCTATTTATTTTTCTGATACCTTTTAAGAAAATTTTTAACATATATTTTGTCAATTTTAATAACAAAAGTACAAAAATCCAATCCACACACATAAATCAATAAAATAAAACATTTTGGTATCAAAAATAATTTCTCTGTGATTATGAAGGTTGTTCATTCCCTGTTTGTTCGACCTTTCCAACTCTTGTTCTGTCATGTACACTGCATGTTGGCTTTTCCAATTTAAAATATCTGAATTCTTTATAGAAAGTTGCAAAGAATATCACAATAAGAATTGCAACTATCCACTCTGATACTGTTGAAGTTATTCTAAAGCCATAGCCCTGAAATATATATGTGTTAAATATAAATTTGAAAATAGTCGTATCGATACAAGAAGCAATTGTTATATAATATTTGTATAAGGAAAGTGGGAAGTTCATTATGTTTTTGTCTTTTACCCATATAATATGTAATATTGTTTACAATATCAATATGCGAAACTTACCGTTCATAAAACACCGTCACCTGTGAAGTGTTACCCGAACGAAATGCACTGTCTGAGTTTCGCTGTTGTGTCTGGAAAAACGGCTCGGGCATGTTATTCGTCCTTTTTCATTCTTTTTTATGTTTGATTCTTTCAAAAAATGATTGGGAAATAACTAAATAGGTACATGCATTGACAGTTACACGTACCAGCTATGCCCAAACTAATTAAAGTTCTAAAACGACTTATTGAAAAAGAAATTGATATAAAATATAAAAATAAGAAGATGTTGTATGATTGCCAACGAGACAACTTTCAACCACAGATCAAATGACATAGAAGTTTACAACTATAGGTCATTGGAAGGCCTTCAATAATGAGCAAAACCCACACAAGAACATTTGTGTTTGTAGTACGTCTTTGTAATATTAACTTTACAGCATTTTTAATAGGAACAAACTTATCTGGCCGTTAGTTTGAATTGTTTTTCATTTATTCTTTCGGGGCCTTTTATAGCTTGCTGTACCGTATGGAGTTTGTTTATCGTTGAAGGCAAAACGGTAACATAAAGTTGCTGACTTCTACGTCATTTGGTTAATCATACCACATTTTATTTTCATATTATGTAGTAATAAAACTTCGGCTATCATAGAGGATTACAGAACATCAACACACATAATAAAATTTTCCTAATTATTTATTTGTTTTGAACCCTAGGTTGTAGTGAATGTGTCGTCAAACAGTCTACATAGAAATATTATCAGCATAGCTAAATTTATATTTTTTATTACTCACCGGAACTGAAGGATTCCAATAATTCAAATTGCTCTCTCCTTTGGGTTTCTTTAATTTTGATAGCAAAGAGAATATTCCTACTGGAAAATGCTAAGGAACATTACATATATCTATAATCGGATTTTCACACTTTTCAGTGTTCGCGGTTATTGGATGGATGAACGAATGCTTTTACATTACCGATATGTTTTGTTCATTTCATACATGATCACACTTTTTTTTTACTTTGTTAAATCTGATCAGAACAGAAAAGCATAACCTGAACTAGACTAATAATAGAAAGACAAAATGAGTAGAAGAAAAAACAATTGATAGCTGAAACACATTATTCATTTTTTTCCATTCCAGCATGAATTGTAACATTTGCTGCTTGAATTTGATATACAGGGATAATATGTGTCGTGTTGATGTGTGTTCAATGTTTTGCGCATGCCCTTTCAACTGTTTTTATTCGAGCGTCAGTGATGAGTCTTTTGTAGACAAAACGCGCACCTGGCGTAAAAAATTATAAGCCTGGAGTCGGTTTTACAAAAAAACTTACGACTAAGATTAATTGCAAGTCATGAACAATTCAGTATACTTACGACAAATCTTAGTCGTAAGTTTTTTTTTGAACTCGACTCCTGGTATCTGCGATGAGTTTTTTCATATGTACTTACATCATATTTACTTGAGTGTGTACAAAGGACAATGCAGATAAGTTTTAATTAAAAAAAAAGAGAGAGAGAAAAAAAACAAAGGGGGCATCAAAAACCACAAGTCCAATAAAACATCATGATCTGAAAGACAAACAACGAAAAGTCAAACATCAATTAATAATAACAAAAGATTACACAAAAAACTAGATATTGAGCTACCCGAACTCTACTATAAGACGAGAGTGAACTCATGTGACCCAAGATGGTAAACAGTTCCTGCGCCACTAGTGATACCCGTCGGGTTGCTCGTGAAAGTAAAAATCCAATGACAAGTTATGTCACAATTAATAAAAATAGGACGGGAATGTGGTTACGATAAGACTTAGTGGAACATATCCGCGGTTTATTATGACACATACATGTATATCTGGTCAGCCAAATAATGAAATTTTGAATGTTAAAAAGATATACAATCAAACTAAACACTTTAAACTTAAATTGGGTGCAAGAAATACATACTCGAATACCTCAGCTGTGAAATATTCAATTCAAGTGTTAGCTTTGTAAGCTAAAGCCAAATAAGCAAGTTAACGATATAGTTTTAAATTTGTGAAAATATCAAATTAAAGAAAATCAACGTCTTGTGTGAATTTTTCGTTTGAATGTCGTTGTGTATGTGTTTAACTATAGAATACAAAATATAAAGCAATTTTATTGGCAAAAATATAAACATATAAAAATTGTGTTCGATTGAGATCATGGCAGTCCACTACCAGATTGTTCAATATTATAATTGTTTGTTATCTTTTTGTCTTTATGCATACACTCTGGTGTGTACATTCTGAAGAATTTGAATTCCTTCACAAAAGTCAGTAAAAAGAACACAGTAGATAAGGCTAGGAGCCATTCTGATATTGTCCCCACTAGTCTTAAACCATATCCCTGCAATAAAACGACAAAAGTTACAATAACAGTATTTTGATTGCTTATTTGTTGTTGGTTGATTAACGTCCAGTGGCAAATATTTCATGAATGTTGAGGACGAGAACAAATTAACAATAAATACATTAGGTAGGTCATGTAATGGAGGACATCCGGGATGAAGGTCAGGGAAATTTGGATTGTCACTGGAAAATGAGGGTATATTGGATAGGGATAGATATTTTGCCTTGCTCAAAGCCATATACAGACCCTCAAAGAGTTGTTACAAATGCTCTTAACGTGCAGAAAGAGTGGCACTCTATCTACACAAGGCATCGGATTTTAATCCCCATTCTTATCAGATGTGGCTGCGTACTTGTACATCCCGCACAACTAAACGGACGCCGAACTTTGGCAAGGGTTTTACTGCAGGTCGGAAGAAGACCAAAGTAATAATATTTGCATTACCCAGTCACCCTTGTTGGTTAGCAGTGTTTTGCTTATTTCTTAATCTATAACATATCTTAAAGACAGAATGGCAAAACTCTGAAACAGAGATTACGTCGTCCCTGATACGGGACGCTAAACTTACAATACATGTAGTTAGTAGTTAGATTAGATTCTAACAGATGCTCGTTGTACTAACCTTGTTAAAATTCGATGGTATAAGTATTACTCAGTGACATAGCTCGACATCAAATATTTCCGCGTTCGATAGGTCCCAATATTCTTTTTTTTTTTAGCTTTTGTAGCAGTTTATAACTTAATTTACTTTTAATATATTCAGAATATTCTGTTGTGGTTTTTGTCACAACATGGATAGTTGCATATTTTATCATGATATAGAATTTTGGTGGCATACTCCTAAAGGTCACAGTAAAACTGACGCTAGATGTTTAATAGTTAATTTTGGTTTAAATGTATATCCTTTATTAAAATCATTACATTTTTTCTCAGGAGAAGATATTTATATATCAATGAATAGATTCAAGACAAGAAAAAAGAGAAAAGAACCGTGATTTACTACAGGCAACATTCAAGATAAAGCTCATTCAACTCCCTTAATTGGAACCCTCACCATATAGATACGACAGTAAAATATGATGATTCGTTTTAATATACCTACCGGTTTCCCGGGTTTCCAATAAGTGTTATCTGTAACATTAACCCAGCTTGGCGCTTGCTGGTTTGAAAGCGTTGGAAATATAAATACTGTTACGGTAAAGAAAAACAAAGATATAAGTTTTAACAATTCCTTCAAACTGATACTACAATATAAAAACAAGGAGAATATGGAGATGCAGTAAGATTGCCAGTGAGACAACTATCAACAAAAGAACAAAGACCAGTAATGCTTGTGATATACAATAATGAGATTCAATTACTGACTTTGAATTGGCTTCATATTTTATTACAAATGATGTATTGTGTTTGTATTATGGAACTCGTTGAATAAAATTTGTGCATGCGATTAAAACTTCAGTGCATTCTTAAAAATACTGGGACAGGCAGCATAAAGATGAGGAATCTTATATTTATACAATCAGCAATATAGATGGTTCTATTGGCGTCTCATCTTAATTCTGCCATTAAAGTACTAAAATAATATGACTGCAACTTTGATGAAACAAGATTGTACAAAATATTGGTCAGTTTTGTATACTATGATGTATAATAAATTAACAAAGAAGTGACACAAGAGCAAGACGTCAAAACTACACAATCAAATCTATACATAATCCGTTATTGTCATAGTACTGTAATATGTACATGTCCCACTGTAGATTGATAAGTAGTATTCAATACCAATACCGTGTGTCGACATGCATCACACAGTGCTGTTTTGAAAAACAGTCAAAGGCTAAAACATAAAGATTTGACAAATTCTTCAGTGCAAGAATTTGTTCAATTTGCATCGTTGCGCCCGATCAAACTGAATACAGTGATAAATCCTATATTCGCTAATAAAAATCTCAGACTCAAGAATTTGTTTTAGTATTTACAGCACTGAAGTCCGACATAAATAACTAATACACGTTTTGTATGTTGTGTAGGTTTTGTCTTTGTTTTTTGTATGTATCTGAAAAAAGTAAAATAACAAAAATACCGAACTCCAAGGGTATTATAGTTATATTGATATATTTGAGCCTAATGCAAAGTTGAAATAATATTGAAAGAAACCTGTTGGAGATATAGTTGACATAAACTAAGTACGCGCAAGCATTTGATGTAAAACTTGATTACGTTCCACACATGGGATACCTGCGAAAAAAAACTTCAAATATGTTCGAAAAAATGTTGTACATTAACTTCCATTTTTGTACAATCAGTGTGCTAAATTTTATTAATGTTGTAGAACAACTGTGACACTGTTTGAGTTACAAATACAGATACAGGTCATTATACGTTACTCTGTATGTGTTTCGGACAGTTGGAGTCGAACGGTTGGTAGATATGCTCCCGCAGGTAAAAATTTTCACGTTCTTCAGTTTCTTGTATTTTGTATCATGATTATTGTCAATTTTGGTATAATTTTGTAAATTATAATTACTTATTTATTTTTATGTTGTGCTATCGTAATTTACCATACAAATTAGTTGTTTAAAAAGGATACACATAATTATAAATATGAATGTCAACACACTAATAACTGTGCGTATTCGACAAACTATGACAGAATTTCCTGGAAGATCTGGCATTTTAAACGACATTCCTGTCTGTATCCAGCAATATATGCTCCCTACAACAAACGCTAGAAGGGCTCCTATAAGATGTATTACTATGACATTCGTTTCCTGAAAAAGAGAAGTTTAAAGACTCGTTTACATTAAACATATTTCTATATTATTGATACTTACACTTGTACGTAACTATTAAATATTAGTGAAATTTTACTCATTCGTATTATTTTGATGACACTAATGTGTACTTGTCTACCAAACAATGGGTCATATTATATAATTTTAATATTACCAACTACAAGTACTTATTTCATATACTATAATATCAAATGTTAATCAATTAAATCGAAACTTATCATGTTATACTAGTACTTTAATTGGTTGATCTATTTTTATTGTATTTTATTTTTATTTACTTTTATAATACGTGATTGGCAAAGGAAATATTTGTACCTGAAAGTTTCCTACCAGGCTTATACCAAGTGCAGCTGTAATACCCATTACAAAAGTCACCGTGTTGTATTTTAATAGTTTTGTTCTTCCTGCTCCTTCATAATGCGTTCTTATTTGTCGATATCGTATATAGAATATAATGAAAGCTGAAATATAATCAAATATTTGTTTCAATACAATTACAAAATATCTTGACATATTTGTTAGAACATCAGATTTAACAAAACGGTTGTTATATAAATTTGTGTCTAGACTATATTCCAATTCAGAACGTTTATCAGAATTTTGAAATGACCCTTTTTTTGTAATATATAAACAAAACAGAGCATTCCGGACAAAACAATATAAATGTATAATGACTCATACTAGGATGAATAAAAATAAATTAATCGTTCTCTATCTACTTTTTGCCAACAAAGAACTGAGACGCATAGAGAAATTGGTATTATATTTTACGATAGTTGATTTAACCATACATTTATGGTGCCGCGACCACTCAAGTTCGTATCCTGGTCACGGCACCATATATGTTTGGGTTAAATAAACTATCATAATATAGAAGGCAGAACACAATCATACTGTTAGACGTTTACTTCATATCTATATTTGAGAGCTAAGGCTACGTCCTACACTGACGTCAACCTTAGATTCGAAAGGTAAAACGCAACGTCGTTTAATGGTATCAAACTAAGGCGAAAGATATATTCTCACCTAGGACGGCACCAATATTTAGCAGCTGACCGAACACACAACTCTCAGGTGGTTTTGTACCTGTATCGCTGAAAAATAAAACGTATGGTATATGGCCTCGTGGAATTAAAAGATAACTTTCTGTAAAAATTTGTAGATTAATTTTGCATGGACTTTGAAATATCAAACTGTATGCTGTAAAGCAAATACAACAAATGTTCAACACAATAAAAAAAAGTTATTTAATCGATCAGATTTTAAAGACATTATTTTGAAATTGTCAAGCAAGATTTAATGAAAATAAATTATAAGCATTTGTTTTACTTAAGGTTGGTCATCACTATATATTTCCTCAATAGAATTTTTATACTTTGCTAAAATGCAGATTTTATCATGCTTTACTGGCAAAAATATGATAAAAAGTATGGGTCCCGTGCCATTTTTCTAGCTACAAGTCGTGCAAAATTGCCCAATTTATACTTTGCCAAAATGCAGATTAATGATCTGTTTGTGATAATCTCAACATATACTTGGTGTTCCCATCTCATGATAGTTTGTAGTCTAGTGTTTGTCATTGTCTAAAAAGACAGATCCATACCGGAAACTATAAAAGTTGTTGTTTTCGTAAATTTTTGTTTTATTTTTTATAACATTGACTTAATAAAGCATTTGTTTTGAATTTTTCACATTTTGTTTTTGATCTGACTTTTACAGCTGACGGAATTGATCTGCATTTTGATTACTTAATTACGAAAGATGTATTAAAGCGGCGAGGATGTTTACTTTCTCGTCCTTTCAGTCCTTTTGGAATAATTGTTTCATTAACAATTATAACAAGTCTCCTTGTTTTTACTTATCTGCCAAATGTTGTGAACTCATTTTAACCTGAATATGCATGGAATATTTGCGATATGTTTTGTGTTGATTGTAGATCTTGGTACGCTTGTTTTGAATTTATGCACAATTTGTTTTTCGACAAGGGTCAAGTTATAGCTTGACAGATGGAATAGACGCAATATTCTGGCTTATATTTATCGTTCGGATACTTATGTTGTTGGATTGTTGTTGCATTGACGTGTGACCTAGCTAAATTTGTTTAGTTATACATAACTAACCTTATGTACGGAAAGGCTGGTTCCACATGACCACTGGTTACTGCTAAAATGTATCTGAAACAAATAGTTCCTCAAATTTAAATAAGGGGGCGTAAGTTATCAAAGGAATGTCCAAAGACAAGCTGAAAACATCATGGCGAAAAACGACGAATACACAAAAAAAGTCTTCAAAACACAAATTATGTTAAATTTCTTTTTCTTTTTTTTATGAATTTCTTGTTATCTTGTATCAATGAAACCTGATGAAAAATGAAAACTAGTAATAAAACGAATGCTTTCCTATACAAGATTACTTAATTATATGGTAAGAGTTTGTATCCGATTAGAATGTTTAGACTGATGGTCACACAAATCGAATGGCATCTACAAGTTCAGTGTCCAGATTATATATTGCATCGTTATATTGATTTCATCAGTTGGTATCAAAAGACTTCTCCGTCTTGTTTTATTTTGCCGGTGAAATTTTTAATCTCAGCATTTAAATTTTTTCTTGAATGATGTACATTATTTACGTCCTTATTTTTGAATATACTTACGTTATTGTGAATGTCAATGGTACAAAGATTGCTATAACAATAGGATACACGTGCAGTCTGTCGCCAAACATTACCTTAAAAGATAAGTAACAGCATGTACAGATAGTAGATAATGCATGATTTTAAAGGAAAGACTTCCATTTGAACCCCGTGGTTGATGGAATAAACAAAATATACAGGTAAGAGGGTTCAAATGGAAGTCTTGCCTTATCAAAGACAAATTTTCTCTTCATTTGAGGTGCTTTTTTGTATTAGACATTACAACCGATTATGTGAAATAATGAAAATGTTCAAAGTTAGACAAGAGAGAGGCAAATGACAATTTGATATAATTCACAGATTGTATACCTACATCGCAGTGCCTGTTTGTATGAATTGATATGGTATTAACACAATGGCAATGCAACATATATATAAGGTAGAACATGTGTTTACAAGCGAAAACAAAACCTCAAGAAGGTGGTGGCAGTTTATTTAAAAAATCATACATGCAATACATAGCATCTCAACTTTTAGTGTTTTCTTTTTAAACTTTGCTCAAAACAGAGACACTCCCTTAAAAGTTGTGTTAAATTGCCCCGCCCCATCCTGATTTCACGTTGTCAAATGACATGTTTTCATTACACCAAAGTTTTTACTATATATTTGATATAATGAACATTGTGGCAATTTATTCAGGGTTCGACCAGAATCACTTAATCAAATTTAGAAAGTTGTTTAAACGTCTTAACGCGGCCGACCAAATTATGATTATCTGTTAATGTGGGGTGAATTGATGTTAATTGTGAGTTAATGTGAGTTATTGCTATGGGACACGTGATGTCTGCTGTCATGTGCTGATGTCCAAGAAGCCAGATCATGGATGAGGCACCAGAATCTGTTGTATGCAACAACTAAATTAACTCAAAACACAGTCTCGCATGGCGCTAGAGGTTAACAGGAATCTTGCTAATATATTGGAAAAGAGCATGATACAAAAAGAGATCGACTCCTCCAAACAGAATACTTCTGTATGAAAAATAAGAAGAACGATGGCTGATGCGGTTTTCTAACGAACTGCACAGGAATGTCGACAAAGAGTTCAGACATTACAAAAGCAATTATGATGCATAAATGTAAAAAAATGTCCAGTGGACTTTGGGTGAGTAACAATGGCTGATGGTTTACATTTAATGAGTGTTTGTTGTGTGAATAATAATGCATAATTTAATCGGGTGTTTTCTTAGTGTGAACAATAGACACATTTTCACAGCTCCTCGTCCATTTGAATTTCCATCCAAAGTTTCATAGTTAAGTTGATGTTTTCAAATGTTCTGTAATCTGTGAAAGGAAGATCTGGCTTTTCCAATTTGATGTTGATGTATTGTTCAACTCTATCAAATGATTTACCACGCTACCGATGTAAGTTAAAGACTAGTAAACAAATTGTGATCTGAAACGGTCGTTTTGATCTGAACATCTCTTGAAAGACTGAATAAAAAATTATTCAGTTATTTTCGGTTTGTCAGTCAATTTTCAGACTTATCCATTGCAGTTCAGACAATTAGCTAGCAGTCAATTAAGAAATGTTTAGTCTATTTTCAGACTGTTCAGTAGATAATATTTGTACACATCTCCACCATACTTTTTTGTCTGAAATGCTACTGAACAGTACTGAATTGAATGTAAGAAAATTGTCTGAACAGTGCTGAATTTACTGCAGTGGATAAGTCTGAAAAATGACTGAAAGACTTAACATGACTCAATAATTTATTGTTCAGACTTTTCAGATGATGTTACCTTATTTTTTGTTAGGTTCAAAATTCATTTACGAGCTTTATGCATCTAACTATTCAAGTTGTTCTCCATTTATTTTAATACCTGCATGTTTTCTTGGCATTTATATTCAAACCAAGCAAGTTAGAATTTAGTCCAAATAATGATGAGGTTTCGTAATGCTTTTTTATTTTTATTTTTTTGCTGTGATATCAAGGCTTTTTTCGTCGAAGGCAGGCGGCTCAGAAAAAACAAATGACTTGCAAAGACGTCATAATTTTGGACTAGCTATAATTCAGTTTAAGATTTCAGTTTTTGTTTGCATTTACATTTCAGTATTGGATAGTAATGCAAAATCGTCTGCATAATCTATATCCTATAGGTTTGAAGTTAGGGTCCATTTTATTCTCGTATTTAAATTTGATACGGTTTATTTCAATTAGTACCCAGTCGATAGCAATGACAAAAAAAAAGAGATGACATGCTATATCTTTGTCACATTCTAGATGAAACCAAGAAACGGTGTATGGGTCAGAGTCTACAGTGCGCTTAAATAGTTATCAAAGGTACCAGGATTATAATTTAATACGCCAGACGCGCGTTTCGTCTACATACGATTCATCAGTGACGCTCAGATCAAAATAGTTATAAAGCCAAACAAGTACAAAGTTGAAGAGCATTGAGGACCCAAAATTCCAAAAAGTTGGTAGAGAAACACTGATATAGGAGACGATGTGAGCAAAAATACGCAAAAAAAAAATATCAAAGAAAAAAAATGAAAATGACCCAGGACAATAACTTACTCCAATAGACTATTCGGCTATAGAAAACCTTTTTTATTTACTTGTCAATGCATGTTAGAAGTTTCTTCCCTTTTTCAATCCACTCTTACATCACTGGAAGACTTTGATTTTAAAGTAAGATAATTTTGTAAGATATAGTTTTTTCAAGATTGTCCATACGCAACAATTGTGTAAGCTGTTCCTTACAGGAGAGTTATTATTTGTTGTTGAGGTCTATTATTCGCGATGGAAGGATGTATCTGTACCTAACTAGCTGCAAGCAAACGCATAAGTAAAACGACAAAACCGTACTTTATTGAATTAGTTTAGAACAACAAATGTCGAAAAGAAAGAATGGAGAAGGGAACAAACGATATTTCACCTGGAGTACAGAAGCATTCGACAACAGGACGAAGTCCAGTTGAAATACTATTTAACTGGAAATAAAGAACAAAATCTCTATACTTTCTGGATTTATCAAAGGATGATATTACAGCCCGATCGAGAGACAAATTATTGAAAGAAAAGGGACAGAATACGCATCTGTGCGCCGACACGCACATAAAAAATGTGAAAAAAGGATATTGTCATTCAGATGCACTGCAATACAAACAAACTGTCGACAAAACAATGTTTAATTTCGTGCCGTGAAGAAAGAAGGAAGTAGAGTAACGTAACACGGCAAAGGTGCTGACACGCAGAGGAAAAGTTTAACAATGATGACATAGTTGAGATTGATATAGTATCATCTTATAGTCAACCCGTGACTGAAACATTGGAAGGCCAAAGCGTACAAAATAAGGATGGTGTTAATGGTGCAGAAATTTACGACCGATGAAACCAGTTTGAAATCATAAAAGTAAGGATATCGAAGGACTACGTCAGATATTGAACGATTTTTCAAAAACTGTAAATAAATGTATAGGCTTAAGTTAAGTAGTTCATAGGATATTATTTTGCTATATATAATTAATCAAATACTTCAATATATATATATATATATATATATGTTGTTTGTGCTGTATTTAGACCCCTATAACAAGAAATTTGTTTTGCATGAACACGGATAAAATACAATTAATATACATAATTATATATATATATATATATAAGTCTAGTCCGAGATTACTCTGACGTCCAACGGCTGTTTTGCCAGACAAGCTGGGGCCGTGGGACGTCAGACAGGGGCGGATCCAGGATTTTGGAAAGGGGGGCGTAGTATTAAAAAAAAATTTGAACCTTTTTTTGGCTAAAAAACATAAAATAAGTGTAAAATGCATTTTATAGTTAAAGTGTAGGGGTTGGACATTTTTGGTGCCGTATTCTCTCCATTAATTGTCTATTATAAAATGATTGGATGGATCCAAAGCTATGTACTAATTAATATATTTGATGTGGGATTTGTCAGTAAAAAATGGACATGGAAAATTCTCGTTTGTTGTATGGTTAGTTAGCATAACCTCACAGATTTCTTGTTGTAAACAAGATATACGGCTATTCAATGAAATTTACAATACGACCGACACGAAGAAAGACAAACAAGCAATTTTTATCCAAATGTTTGATTGAAATGTTTCAACCAACAAGGGAATTGAGGGGTTCCAAATCAACCAAAGGCTACGAATGAGTCGGAAATGACAATGAAGTTGTGAATGACGGTCGACACATGGAGACATATAGGCCACACCCAGCAGGCAGGTTGCAGTCGGGCCTTGAAAAAGTATTCAGTATATCAGTTTGGCAAAACAGACATTCCAGTCAGATATGGGATTCATATGCAACCCACCCCCCCCCCCCCCCCCAAAAAAAAAAAATTACGCCCGTTTTGTATTCATCATGTTCATATAATGCTAAATAATTTTGTTGAAAATATTTTTTTCTAATAGCAAAAAAGTGGACAAGATTATTGTTTTCAATCCAGATACGGCCAGAATATTTGTTTAAGGCAAAAATCAGGGTCAGAATTTTTCTCTAAAATATCTCAGACTGCCCCCTCGAATCAAATGGTCCGTACCTTAGACTTTAAATCTATATCTAGAGCTTACTGACTGGGGATCACTATTCAGCAATGTTATTAATGGGCTGGGGCGTGTGGGGTCAAATATGTTTTCGTAGGTAAATAATATTGCTGTGGAACTTTTTTTTCATAAGACTGTAATAGAGCATTACTTTCTGTTGGGTGGAATTGTGAAATAGAAGTCAATACGTTCAAGAACATTGCTCAATACTTTGTCGCTTTGAAGGCGTCATGCTTGTCATCCTCAGCATAAGCAATGTGTTACTGTAATTTCAATTTCAAAATGACTGAGTGACGTTTTTTTCGACGTACTGGTCAATTCCACCGTAGCGAATCACATTACTTTGACATAATCAATAATATATTACAGTAAATACGAGCGAAAAATATCTTTATAAGTAAAGAATTGTCGCATAAAAATTAAATACACGGGAAATGGCAAAGTTCGCGAAGTCTAGTCTGATTAATCATTTTACAAAAAAAAAAGTGCAAGCAAAGGGGGGGGGGCGTACGCCCTCTA